TCATAACATTATACTATAGCAACTGAAAAGATCTTTTACAGGAACTAGTCCCAAAATCGCCACCAATACTCACTCTGTGTATAGTTGTTTATTGGCCTAAAAAATACAAAATAAGAAGGTAAATGTGAAAAATGAGGTTAATGGTGATTTTGTGATTTCTAGTCCCAATATCCTTATACGCCTGTCATATAGATCTGATATTGATTAAATGTGGGATATTGTGCACAACCCTTTGACATAATATTTTCACCGTAAGGAATACCGGGTGAAAAGAAAATACAAAAATAAAAAGTGACGAAAAAAACATTCTTCCGTCATTATTATGGTGGTTAATTACAAATATAGACCGAAAAGTTGCTTCAACATTTTGTATCAAATTGTATGTAAAGAAAAAACACGAATATACTCAATGACATTTAAATCGGACGGAGAAACTGGTTTGATTAGAATAGTCAAGTGGCGCATAAGTCACGATTCGACATCACAATTAATATTTAAGCCGTCCTCAAATCTCACTTTTCATTCACGTTAGAAGCATTCTTAAAATATTTATTATGAGCATTGACCTACCAAATAGGTCAACGATTATAAGTGTCATAGTATTTATTAAGATTCCTATTTATATAGGGTGTTAACTTAATTGCGTTTGTGTGGAATAACCTCTCTACGTGTGTAATACAATTAAGTGAACACTACAAACTAATTATTTATTTAATGTGATAGTTATCGTACAACAAGTAACGCATGATAATGACACTGTTCGGTAACTAAATCCGAATCGACAATTCTTCATTTTTTATACTGAACAATAGAAATATTAAACTAGTTTTGAAAAAGGTACAATTAAGAACGCGTGAAGATTGACATTTTGGATTTTGGACCCTTGTTATCGTAAGTGCCATAGAGTTCAATTTAATTGTTCATTGTCATGCTTGACGTGCCCTTTATAGTAAAATACATTTGAGAATTTAACCGCTCACGCGATTCATGCGTCTCTGGCAGCATACCACACCTAGAGGTGCCGGTGATGATTTTATATATCGAAGTTATGACAGGTAAAAGAACTAATACTAATTGCTATTTCGGTAACTACTCTAGCAAACCATAAAGTTTTTAATGCCTGGGTCTGTCATTTAAAAAAAATAAACAACTTCAAAAATACGTCACGACAATCGTGTGTGTTATTGTTTGGGCTGGTGATGTCGGTGTTTATTTATTGAAAACCTACTGTAAGTTGCGTTTTTTAAGTTTACCCTGAATATAAATGTTTATAAACTATACTTTAAGGAGTAATTTCATGGTAAACATTAGAACCACTCAAACGGAATATTATCATATTTACCCAAGTACACCAAAAATTTCATTAGTGCTTTTTAAGTGCAGGATTTGCGGTGTATTTTATTTGCATTTTATTTGAGATGTTTTTGTTGTAGTACGGAGGGTATTTATTTAGCAATGCAGAATAATAATTTTTATTTTTAAAAACTTGTATTTAAACTGAATCCTTTTCTATTTTGCGAAACCAAATAGCCGCCATTTTGCGGTAGGATGAGCGCATCGCGTGAGCGGTTAAGAAATATGTATTTTTATGAATAAGTACATTAAAATCAACGTGAATACTTATTATTTTTATATCAAAGAAAATTCAACACTGCCATATTTATAAAAAAAACATATATTAGGTAATTAATGATACTTGTATTGTAATGAAGGGCTACAGAAATATACAGACTGTCAAAAAATATCCTATAACAATCAAATATTTTGCAATAACTAAAACTGACAGTTTTGTATATCAGTGAGCGTGAAAAACTAAAAATGACAGTATTATTTTAAAAATTTTTGACGTTTCCTATTTTTGTCTTATGAATATTGGTTGTCGATAAAGAAAAGAAAAAAGATTTTATTGAATCTAGAATGTAGACTGAAGTTATAAATTAGTCTCTATACTCTTTCTCAGTGCTATAATAATTAAGGTATTTTTTTATTGTTCTCGTAACGCCGAGACATATTATGTCGAGCCTAAGAATCTATTGTTCGTGAAGCAGGAGCTGAAACTACAGGATGCAACACCACGGCTTAACTATATGGTTGGCGATCTTAATTACGGCAACATATAACTAAACTGAAAAACAATTTAATATTCTTTCCAATTGTTTAAGCGAAGGCTTAAAGTTCTGTTATTTAGAGTACAACCATCTGACATTGCATCTTTTTGTTACACCCTGTATGGACTCGACACATCGGGAATAGTCTTTGATGTACGTCATAACGTGGCGTTACGGAAATACGTATATTTTTAATAAGTGATTTATAGTCAACTTTGACATTACTAGAATTTTAAGTATTTTTTTTTGTCTATTTAAATATTTCACCTTGTATGTTAAGGCTGGAAAGTTAATTTTGGATTATTTACTAGCTGAAGTTAAAAAAGTGCTATGACATCTGTCGGCCATTTTTAAAGAATTTCAATTTATTGGCCGCAAGGTCCAGAATTAGTTATTCAGCTTTTAAATGCTATTTTATATAAGAAAATGTTTGTAATGTGAATTTTATATAAAAACGTAGTTATACATTTACATTTTATTATACATAAATACATATATTTTCGACATAATGTAATCACAAGATTTTTTATACAAATATACAATAAATAATATTTTAATATATAAATTGTGTCTCCTTTTTTTTAACACTTTCTATTCACGACGGGCCAACAACCCAACAATAAGAGGTACATTCAGCTTAAAACTATCTAGAGTCTGTCTTTTTTGAAGATGGTATAAAATGGCATATGTAGGGTTGCCAGTTTTCATAAAATTTTAAATAGTTATGTAATTGTCGATAGTTTTGTCGATAGATTGTGAAAGAAGATAAAATTTTGCCAATTTTTTTGCTTTGTTAATAATAGTTATTGCCTTCTTTATTATTATTTTGACAGTTCACCTACTGTATTCAGATCAATTTTTATCGATATCTAATCAATCAATCAAATCATATACTAAAAAAACAATCTGCTCGTAGACAGGGTGAAGAATATACCACATTTCTTTACCGGATTTCGCAGTGAATAAATATCGTTTAGGTTCAGTAGAGACGCTACAGCCGATAATAGTGTCCGTCAGAAGTTTGGACCAAACAAGATATACAAATCAAACTGCTCATTATTTACTGCCTGTATTAACATATTTTCAATCTTAGCGCTAACGGAAATATTAAAGAAGTAAAGTGTTTGCACTTTACGTTGTTCATGGTTCTAGCTATATAATATTTATTTTTATTTACTACTTAATTTCTGAAACACGTTTTTCACTATTTTAGGAAGCTTCTTTATAAAGGTATTATTAATAATAAAACGCCTTTGCAAAATTTATCTCCTATAAAGACAGTTTATCTTCTCCGTGTAATTGCTAATGACACTTTTTCAGGCACTTAGAATATGCGGACAATGGTTTCTGAATAAGTATTATTAGCAATTACACGGAGAAAATAAACTGTCTTTTTCGAAATCGAAATGGTTATATATTTTTAACTGACTTCAAAAAAGGAGGAGGTTCTCAATTCGATTATATTTTTTTTGTATGTAAAGATAATACTAATAAAATAAATAAAATACTACTAACTCACAAAAATTTTGTAAACCGATTTTGATGATTATTTTTTTGTTGGAACGGTATATACCTCAGTATTGGTCGCATTTAAATTTTAAGATTTTGCTCTAAAGGTAGCAAACTAGGGGATGAATCCGGTTTCGCGCACTTTCCGGTAACCGATGTCAATAAAACTTGGCAAATAGACGTAATTCGACGAACTTTGGAGGCGGTTTTTTAAGTACGTACCTACTGAGATGATTATTAAAATTTAACTGCCTCCGTGACCGAACGGTTACCATACCAACGCAGAGGTCCCAGGTTCGATTCCCGAGCCGGGGAAATATTTGTATGGCCTACATTTAATTCTCTCGTGAGTTTGGGTGTAATTCGTGGTTCATGTGTGTCCATGGCACCCGCGATACAAAGTTTCCATTGTGCGGGGCTATGTTGAGTGTGTGCGTTATAATTATTGTTATTAAATAATAATAATAATAATTTATTCATACAACTTAAAAGTTACAAAGTATAATTAATACAATAATTCCTTTATTTTAGAGAAAGGTTAACGCATTCCACGTGTTTTATTTCCTTGAAGTTTAGATAGGCAAATATATCCTCCCTATTCCAACCTGGTTATATGTCTTGGTGCAATATGAAATTCTACTAGTTATAACCTTGTACGATAATAAGAAAATCACCGAGAATCGAAGGTTCGAAGTATCACAGCCCTTCTAAAGTGATCTTGACCTTTTAAACTACAACAGATCTTGGGTTTTACGTTTATATTACCTAGGATATAAGACGAAGTGGTATCGCGGTTGCGTAGGTTTTGAAACTTAGGAAAAAAGGTGCGCCTCAAATTTATTGCACGATGTTTTTGTTTATAAGTAAGTAATACGCCTAAGTAAGTAATACGTAGT